CTCCTTTGCAGAGGGCTTCAGAGACCGGGTTGCCCCTTTGCCATCTTGCCGCTTCTCCCTCTGCGGTTGCTGGAATGTGGGGCCAGCCAGGCTTAGCCGGGCCTCTCCAAGATCTTATTCAACCCTTTAGGGTCCTCTGGAGCAGGAGTGAGATTGCCCTACAAGGGCACGACCTGCTCAGCCTGGGAATGATGGTGAGACCGAGGCACGACCCCGCCCACGAAGGGGTACGCGCCGACCTGAAGAACCGCTGCTGCGGCCACGCGCAAACAAAAAAACCTTAACATAATTTTATAGACTGATCTGTGCTAAGAAGAAAATAAAACAAGGTTGTGATATAATAAAGTAAGGTAGGAAGGGGAGAGGGTAGTTAATTTAGACTGGGTGGTGTGGTAGATTAAATTATTGGTTGGTAAATATATATCCATTCTTTTTCCCTACCTCTATGGGAGAAACAGACTCTTCTACTCTGTTGATGTTGAGTTTGACAGTGTGACAAGCTTTGGCTTCACGGTGTATGGAGTGTACTTCTATGCTCCTTGACCTTGGGCATGGCCATATGACTTGCTTTGGAGATGTCAGCAGACACGACACAATCAGAAGCTTGTCGTGTTTATGTATTTGGACTTTCTCTCTTGTACTCTGTCACTGACATGAGAAGAATAGGCCTTGGGTAGAATATCATAGTTTCCTTCTGAGTTTGGGAAATTCTGTTCAAGTGGCATTTCTTTCACTAAATTTAAGGGCTTTGATTCTTGAACATGCATGCTATTTTAACTAATCTCTCAACTAACAATGTGGGAGTCACAAAAAAAGAAGTGAACCAGATTGCATTATTGGTAAGAGATATAAGAAGAAGAGATTTTTACATGAAAATATGTGACTATAATAATAATAATAATAATAATAATAATAAAGGTATATGTAAAACATTTCTGCTGTTGTTGTTAATAGGATCCTTAAGTAACTTAATGAGTAAAACTAACTAAGAGCAGAAGGAGAGGGTATGTTTATTTAGTTCAGTGGCTAAGCTCCACCCCAGACAAGATATTTTCATTTTCAACACATGATACATAAGAAAAGGAAAATGTGAACCACAGGAATGGAATAAATATTGAGGACAAAAGCAAAGTGTTGAATATATTATAGCCACACTAAATTTTAAATGAATAAGTGCTCTAAACTACAAAGAAAAAACTAAAGTAACCAAGTTATTTTAAATTCCACATATCCCCAAAGATGAATAAAAAGTAGATATTAAAATTCTTGTAAAATGGCAAAGAAGCTATGATTAATATGTTCCTAGTACAAAGTATTAATCACATTATCCATGTAAAAAATAATAAAAAAAAACAGTGACAAGAATAGTGGGACTATTTCATGAATCAGTCTCAACGTACACTTCTGGATATAGAATTTATCCTAGAATATTACACTTTAAATCAAATGTTCATAAAGTCATCTATATTGGGAAAGCTCATCTGAAAAAGATTCAAATGGATTGGCGGAATTTAAATGTGAAATTTACTAGTATAACGCCTTGACTGACAGTTGGTTTTGGCAGCAATAGCCTTCTGTAACAACCAGAATCACCAAGAAAGATGTAAATGATAGGACTCAGTGAAAACAGACAACAGAAAACCTATATGCTTATTACAAAGTTAAGACTCTCCTTTTTCAAGCTTATAATATATGCACCAATTTAAGTAATAGTACTTTGCTGTCTAGTTTTGAATCATTTTCTCCAGTTTTATAATTACAATCAGAGTTGAAAAACTAGCACAGACCATGGATGACAGGTTTGAAAATGACGAGAAAATGAAAAGAGGATAGAAGAAACAGATTTACTGATAAGAGTCAGACAAATAAAGAGAACAGAGTTGAGGCCAAGGACTCAAGGAACAACTAAAATTAATCAAAGTAAATTCTGTAGAAAGAAAGTTAAGCCTTTTTGCTTTAGTAACCTTTGTTACCATCATTTTATTACAAGTGCTATAACATATATATAATATATATAACAGATATATATATTTATAATTATCTGTGAGCAATGGGGGGTCTGTTGATTAACACAAGGATAAGTTTAACTACTAAAACTTTGAAAATCTCTATATACATACCTTCTAAAACTATCTATTTTTAGCATAAGTACATGAAACCAAAAAACAAATCTATCCAAAATACTGCATATCCTTTGAACAGTGTTGCATACTTTAGACATTAACTTCAGAAAATCTCAGATTACTTGAAAAAGAATGACAATGTGGTGGCTAAGTTGCACCACATTATTTTCTACAAAATGTCTGATGAAATTGCAAACTGCTAAAGTCCTGTTTTAGTAAGAATGAAACCCACCTAGTATGACTTCAAAGGATCAGTTTTAGAATTAGTCAGGAGACTAAAAAGCTGGAATAATATTTCTTCAGTAACCATGGCAACTTGGAAGAAGAAATTCCCAAGGAATGCGGTGACCAATTGACATGTTTTCTGATTTTTGATATCCTTCCTATGTTTGATGAATTTCTAGCCTTGTGAGGTATGACTCCTCTAGGTAGAAATCCAGAAAAAACTCAGTTATCTAGCCTGCTCTACTCCTAAGACTCCACTAACCAGAGTCAAATGTGCAAAAGTTTGATTCATAAATGAGCAACTTGAGGTCTTCATACAGCATCCATTTTACTCATGAGGATAGTAATAGAAGTATCTATTTCTTGGACATGGAAATGATGGAATTGAGCAATAGTTTCTCCTATTGCTTAATGGGATTGTTGCAGTAAAGGAAGGTTTATCCTTAAACCAGTTTTATGGTATAGTTTTTGGTATTTGAGAATTTAACCTTGACCTTGGTTTTTCAACCCTCTAACAATTTGGTCAACTATCTAATACTCTTTTAAATAAACTCATCTGCTTACTAGCCAGCTGGAAGCAGCTTCTGATACTTAAAAGGAGAAACTTGCTGCTTAAAAAAAAGATATATAAGTTGGTTCTGAAAAAGTGATTGAAGGCAATATAACTTTAGAAAATTCAGAAAGATTTTCTGATTAGTTATCTGGCGCTATAAGGGTTGATTACTCCAAGAATCCAGCTAGTATTCTGGAAAAATAAAATAAAATAAAATCTGGCAGCCATATCCTGCATTAGAAAAGTAACAAATTATTAATGATAGCCACTTAAGTCAAGTGACCACTGAATACAAGACTTTGAGAGATTCAAAAGCTACTTGCTAATCTGAATGAATATGAAGAGCATGAAAATTGAAAAACAAAATTAGTTCCTCCTAATTTTGTAACACAGCTTTAAAAAGAGAATGAAAGTCTCACAATACTAAATTCTCAATTCAAGGCAAGAATCACGGTTATTAGCTGCTCCCTAACATTGTTCCTTGAAAGGTAAAAGTCAGTGTTTGCAAACAATAGTGTCTACCTTTTGTAGGCCAGGAAGCACTAGTGGCCTATGCTGCTTTTCATGTGGATAATAATGGCATGCTGACACGACAGAACTCAAGTAGAAGCACTTTGCTGTAAGAGACAGGAGGAAATGGCAACTGTTATTGCTAGCAGGGTTGAGCTGTAATCAGAATGCTCTGACCCACCGGGACACTGGCTTTGAGTGCTTAATCAGGTGATCTATATGGACAAAATTGATAGGCATCCAAAAAAGTCCAACATAATAAAATCATAAAACATCCACATTAAATGAAAAAAAGCCCTGACCTCAATGAATGACTGCAATCAATATGTGCAATGTCTTCTCCAATTTCTAGTCCTGAGTCAATTCACAGACTTACAAATTTTTGAGTGATTAGAGTGACTACACAACCTCTAAGATGTCTATTGCAATAACATCACAAATACGAACTGCAAAACGTTCAGTGTGGACTTTCTCATCAAGATAACTACAGTAGAGAAAGGAAAATATCAGGTCTTTTAGGTACAGTTGTATAACAACTCTGAGCTAAGGCAAAAACTGGAAAGCTAGAATACCACCGTGGACTACTGGTCAGATTGGATGCTTACGGGAATCAAATGTTGAATGAAGTTTTAACCTGCATCTGCCTCATGTCCAGCCCAGTACGGCCCTATGCACATAATATAGTTATTGCCAGAGTATGTAGTTGACATTGAAGAAGAATTAGAGGCCTAATCAGATAGTGATTTCAAACGTAGCTGCTATTACAGATGTGCATTGAAAAATCTACATTTAGAGGTTGTAGCACCAGATATACAACTGGTAATCTGGCAAATGCTTTTTTCCCCTCAATCCTAATAGAGAAGATCTATAACAGTTATTCTTACATGACAGGTAGAACATTAAGTCATTTCATCTTAGAGTTATATAAAATTATTAGTTTCTCTACCATGGTATATTTCAGAAAAATCATTAGTATCTTGCCATCATATAAAACAACTACATTGATGATGTGTCTTCAGGACCTGGAAAGCAGGAAATCAGTACTCACGATTCTTTGGTAAAGCATACCTATAAGTCCAATAAGGTGGATGATATATCACATGAAAATTTAAGAGCTACACTTTAATATTCTAGGGGTCCAGTGATCTTGAGCATACCAGGAGAGTCTTTATAAAGTTAAAGATAACTTACTGTACCTTGTGCCCCTACTGCTAAGAAAGAAGCACAGTGCTAAGTGATATCATATATCACTTTGAGAATTCTACTTTTCCCTATTTATGAAATGACCTGAAAGTCTCTTAGTTGCAAGAGGGTCCTAGAGGAGAAAGGAAGCTTCCTTGTTAATCCAGGATACAGTGCATCTACCTGGCCCTAATTAATGACAAATAAATTCAATAGTGTTAGAACTGTTGATAACTTATCAGGATGCCATGTAAAGTCTGTGGCAAGTTCTGATAGAGGAATCCCAGCAGAGTTCTTAAAGATTTTGGAACAAATTAATTAGGCTGGAAATTCTTGTCCCCCTGAAAGGTTGCAATAAGCTCACTTTTACAAAGTATTATTGGAGACTGTATATCTGATTGTGATACGACAAATGTACTAGATCTGCCAAAACACACTTGATTTAGCTCATCTACCAAACTATTAAATCAGGTACGCTCAGTAGCAAGTCACATCACGTGATTGTAATATAAATGCAATGAAATTTGAGAAGGTTGTGCCATCAGAAGTGAGATGTCAGATAACTCATACTCTCAGCAATACTTGCCTTGTGGTTGGATGCCATAAAAAACTTTAGACCTTCCTCTTTGTGGGCAAAGATTGGGCACATATTTGTTTTTATAAGGGATAATTGGTGTATTTTGTTGTTACTTAAGTTGATGACACTGCTATTACA